ATAATATAATAATAATAATATAATAATAATAATAATAACTAATAATAAAATAATAATAAATCGTTCTATAACAATACAACTAATAGCTCAATATTACTGTAATAACAAAACTCAATAAGAACAGTTAAATTATATTTAACAAATACAGTAAAGCATATTATACAAAATACAAATAATTATTTTTCAACTTTAGTATTAAACAATCTCATTATAATATTATTAAGAATAAGTTTTTAATTACAGAGCCTAGTGGCAATATTAAAATTAACTAAATCAACTTAGCTTTTAATAATAGTTGCAATAATATTAATATTTAAATTATTTGTTAGAAAATATCTATTTTTTAATTGTACAAAACTTAAAAGCATTTATAACATTTAAAAGTTTTTAAATTTTTATATTATAAGAACAAAAAGTATATAAATTTAATAAATTACTAATTGGTTAGAAAGCAAACAGATTATAGAAACTTTATCATGCAAGATCAACATTTTAGCCAAGTTTTAAAAAGCAATTATATTTAGCTTTTATATAAATTTACAAGATTTTTTATATAAGAACTTTTTGGTTAGTATAAAGAAAAAAATAATGAATTGGTTTTGCAATTAGCAAAAAAAAGTTATATTTTAATAAAATATCAAGTATGTTAATAATTTTTTTTAACATCTTTAAATAGTTACTTTTAAATTTTTTTTTTAATATTAAGATAAATATATGTAATTTAGAAGTTTATTATTAGAATTTGATTTGTAGTTGTTTGTATAACAATAATAGAAGCAATTATAAAAAAATATATAATTAGCTATCTGTATAACTTTAGTTATTGCCTAATTTAATTAGTTTACTTAAAGGTTTTATACTAGTTGTTATATTTAAAACCCACATGTAGATTTTTTATTTAAATACTCTAGTTCTTGTATCTACTTTTACTTTATTAACTGCATCTTAGTGTAAATATGCTATAGTTACTAAGTTATATTTACTTTTAAATTATATAAAATATTATATTAATAATTTATAAAAACAAAAAACAAAAACTAAATAATTATAAGAATTATATTAATAAACTTTGTTTTAAATAGAATTTTTATACAAGTATATTGTATTATAAAAATTGTAAAATAATTCTAATTACAAATTAGAACATAACTTTTAGTACTTATAATACTAAAGTAAAAGATAAAATTTTTATTTTTCTAATTTTAATTAAATTGTTTTTTTTAAAAATTGTTTGATTTGAAGAATTGCTGTTTATTATAGTTTGTTTTTTTGCAGATCAAATATATATAAATCTTTTCAAATATTTTATTATTTATGTAAAATCATCTATTTCAGTTAATACATATTTCTTTATTATTAGACTATTTAGTATTAATATAAATTAATAAAGAATAATGATTCTAATATAGTGGTTTGGTTGTCATTCTTTAAATAGTATTTAAAAATTAATCTATATTACAAAAACTGTTTTTTGTCAATTAGTTGATCTTATATAGTTGTAATTCAAGTACATCAAGTCAGGTCTTATTTATTATTAAAACCTCAGAGAATCTATACAAAGTGTAATATTATATATATATAAAAAATGTTAATAAGTAATATTGCATAAAATTTCAGTACAAACCTATGATAAGACCACCAGATGCAGAAGACTAAAAAACTGAAAAGACTGAATTCTACTTAGAAATTCTTAAGTAAAAAGATAGTACAAACTTTTGATAGTGCTGTTGAACTAATAAAAGCTTATAAAACACTTTTATAGAAATAAACAGATAAACTGAATAACAAGATATATAGAGAAGCATATGACTAATTAGATTGCTAAAATTGCTAAAGAAAAAGAATACTAAGATATACCATACTAGTTAGTTAAATTGAAAGTTTAAAGAGTTTGTTAGTTTTAAATTGCAATTAGTAAATAATAATAAAGAAAATATTAAAAAGATAAATATTGAGATTTAAAAAAAAACTTTTTTTAATGATTATTAAAAAACAAACAAAATAGAAAGAAAATTTAAAATATAGTAAATAAAGCTTAAATAAACTGAATAATACACAAAAAAACAATTACAAATGCAAAAGACAAACTTTTACAACAATATTAACCACTATACTAACTAACAAAACAAGTGTTAAGACTAACAAAATCAAAAATCAGTTCTCTGAGGACTTGGTAAAAGTCAACTTGTTTTAAGAACAAGAAATAGAATATATATTTGTATATGCACTAAGAAGCAATAAACAAAATATGAATGTTTATGAAATAAAGCAAAACAATAACAATATAAAAACAACCTATATTTAATTAAAAAAAAGACATTTCAACCCTCTATACTCTTTCAAACATTATGCAAAAAGTTCAAAAAGTGAACAAAATAGCTTACTCCCAACAAAATATATAATAGCATTATATGTTATATATAATCAAACACCAAAGTCATAATTAAAAACAATAACAACAACACAGATAATATGATAGTAGATAACAGAAATCTAAATATAGAAAATATAGAAGAACAGATGCATGTAGATAGTATTAATAGTAGGCCTATATCTGAAGATTACAATACAAACAAGAATAGCAATACAAACCAATACAAGTCTTATAATCATGCACTAAAACAAAATATAGAAAATCTAATAGATACTAAAGATAATGCAATTGCAACACAAACACAAAGTTGGACTAAGCATATAACATAATAGCTAGATTAACAAATTACTAAAAAATTTGATACAACAATCTGGTCTTTAGACAAAATAATTACAACATTAAATAGCATCACAGAAATAAAAAACTTCAAGAATATAAACTAAAAATACAACCAACAAAACACCAAATTTTAGCAGCTATATATCTCAAATTTAAACATCTAGATTCAGTCTTTTTTACATCATTTATAACAAACAGATAAACTATATCTGTCCATTAGATTAAATTCACAAACTTATTCAGAGAAGTTGTTAAGAAGTACAAAGAAAAAAATAGAATTATACTAACAAACAGACAAACTCAAAATACTATTCAACAAATTTTAAGGAAAAAACTTATAATAGAATACTTAATGAACTTTAATTTTAAATATAGCAAACCAAATAATATCTATAAAATAGTTAAATACTGCTGCAACTTTATTTGAGCATAGCCAATTTAAGATATAAAAAAATTACAAAATGAAATTAATCAGGCATATAGCATATTACAACATCTTTTGCCCAGTAAACTATCAGAAATTAATATCAAAACTATGGCAATTATATCTTTTGAACTACTAATTACTAAAAGATCACAAATTTAAGCTATAGCAAGCTCATTAAGTACTCTGTTCTATTTTACAACCTTATCAAAATCATACTTTATATCATTATTAGAACAGCATGATTAAAAATCCATTTGATTGGCTGATCACAAAAATTTTTTTAATAGTACTTAAATAAGAAAAAGACCAACTTTGCTTATATGCAAGCTAGGTTACATTACATATTAATTATTTACAAAACTTTACAAGTGTCTTGGTAGCTAGTTTGTTTGGCTACCTTTGAATTTAATCTGGTATAATCAGATTTACTAAAAAGTTTTACTATACTGTTGTTTTTAAAAAAAGTAGGACTTTTTATGTTCAACTAAATTCTACTTATGCGAGTTGAAACTAGAAAACCAAACATATACTCGCCTCTCTCATTTTATACTTACCAGAAGACAGACAACCTGACCAGCAACTGAACACTCGAGCCTTATATAATTGTATTGTACAACTTTACTATAATCACTAATATAATTCTTGAACTTATTAAATCTTTTTAAATTTAGAATGAAGTTTATGTAGAAGTAAAATTGGTTATGTTTAATTTTTTATTTTATTTTACCAATTATCAATTTTGTTAATTCTATGAAACAAATCTAATTCTAGAGTTTCTTGTCTGTTTAGCTGATCAATTATCATCTCTTCTGAATCATCATCTTTAGTATCTTCTTGCTTGTCATTATCATTCAAATTATTATCCTTATTTTTTTCTGAATTTAAGCTCTTTAAAAATGCATTGACATTTTTTCATATTCTATTTTTATAGTAATTTAAATAATGCTTACATTTTCTTTCCATTTTATTGTAGTATTGTAGGTGAAATCTGTGCCTGCATATTAAAATAATTGCTTAATCATTTATAATTAGTGTATTGTAACAATGATCACAATTATTAAATAGAGAAGAAAATCATGTATTATATCTGGTTGGCATACTTTTTATGTCCATTTCACCTAAAGTAAGAAGATCATATGTGGTAGATAATTCTTCTTTTTTCTGTCACTTTTGTAGAAATGGAATTTTATTGCTAACTAAAATAGTTCTTTTATTTTTTTTGTAAATTTCTTGAAATTGTGAAAGAAAGAAAATACTAGTTTTAGTAGTCAAAAATTTTAGATTATTTGATATATATGGATACCACTTTGTAGTTAAAAACATCTCACAGAATGCAAAATATTTGTAAAAATCTAAAAGATAGGCCTGTTTCCATATATTATTAGCAGTATTCTTTAGCAATGTTGTAGCTCTTATCCTACTATACATATTTTTTATCCAGTAATCATTAAATTGAACTAAATTTTTTTTAATTGCTTCTCTTATTAGATGTTCGACTTTTTTTCAATAGAATAGATCTGATAAAAATGCTAATGAAGCTTTATTATAATTTTTATGATGCCATCACAAGGTGAAGGTTCATATACGAAAAATTGTTTCTATGTAATTATCATATGATCTGGATCGAAATAATAAAGCATATATGTTGAGAGAGGCTGGTATGATATTGTCTAACAGTTCTATAATAATCTGGTACTTGATATTTTTTTGTAAAAAATTAAATTTTCTTACAATATGTTCTTTAATTTCGATCCATGCAGTAAATGCCAACTCAAGTAGAAAATTTGTTCATCATGGCCTAGGTTTTTTAACCAAAATTTTTCATTCTTTAAACACAAAATGAAAGAGCTTTTCAAAAAATAGGTAATACATTTTCATTACCTGTTCTTTTGTATTAAGAGCAATGTGCAAGGGCCCAAGTAAAGGAACAAATGATACTATTTCTTTTGGTATTGAAGTATTATTTTTGATATGAAAATGAGTAAGTGCTTGACGAATATAGTACTGACCTGGCCAGTTTGCAATGATTGGTGCTACATTATTATTAAGATGACCTATTTCTTTATTATAATCTAAAATAATATTTAATGCATCTAGGTAATCTTGTTTGGAATGTAGTTGTTGTTTCTTTACTCCTACTAACATTGCTTTTTTTATTTTATGTTCTTCTTTTCATTCCTCAATAGCATTATTATAAAAATAAACTAAAAGCTGATCAATTCTATCAAAATTAGGAAACAACAAACTACTCCATTGGGCCATCCATTGTAAATATGACAAGTCAAAACAATACTGATATTGGTTAATAAGTTTTTCATAGATAATAGAAGCATCGATATTATCAGGATTGTAAACAGACTTATTATTAAATATAATTGGCACAGGATTTGATTTTTCAACTTTTTTGGATATACATGTTGCTAGATGAACCACTCCTGAAAGAAATATGTTATCTGGGTGTCGATTTTTATAAATGTTATGATAATCATTTAGGTTGTAAAAACAAAGATGATTTTTGTTTTCATTAAAATATTTTTTTACCCTTATTGAATGCTCGTTAGCATTTTTTTTTTTGTAGTTATATATGGTTTGATGAATAACTGAAATTCCAGCACTGCTTAATGTATTAATTGCATTACAAGTTACTCCAGATCCTGCAAGATGCAAAGCAAACTCTAATTTAAAATTATTAACATGCTTATTGCATATTTCTGCCATTAAGTATAATATTGTAACAATTTTTTTCTTATCTTCCTTTTTATTATAAGGTGAATAATCATCCAGTATTAATATAGCACACATATTGGCAAAAAAATTCTTCAAGTCAGATTTGCTTCTTCAAGCATTTTATCAAATTCATAAAGGTCAAGTATCATATTTTTATTTCTTTTTATATATAAAATGCTTGTCATTTTTTTAACCTGATCACCAAAGAATAGTTTAACTGACAGTACTGGAATAGATGCTGAAGATGCAGATAATTGATTTTTAACAATAGCCATATAATAAGGACTACAAATTTAATTCTCGAGTTGCAAATAAGGGTATAATTGAAGATTTTTTTTAATAGATGCTTTTCTTATAGCCAAGTTAGTTAAACATTAAAAATCATTAGAGCTTTTGTTACAATTACAAACGGAACAAGGACCCTAATTAATTTTATGCTTTGGCATATCATGAAGATTTTTTTTGTTTTTCAAAAAATTAAAATAAAAATGCATTTATTACATAACTTTAACATACATTAGCTTACTTAATTTTATTATTAAACAATTTAATTTGTTGTACAAATGCATGCAGAACAATCAGGTTGCTTTATTAATGCTATTAATAAGAAATGAAAAACCTTCTATTACATATAACTGATAATTGAACACTTTTTTATAATAAATAATATAAAAAAAGAAAAATTTATCAGTATATATATAAATGTTTTAATAAATATGTGCTCTAAGTATATGCATTCTAAAATTGTATCAAGAAAGTGGCAGCCAGGGCATGCTTGTAGAAGTTTCTTGTGAAAAATATATTTGCATTATAAGCTAAACAAAATTTAATTTTAATTTTGGCTAATCAAAAAAGATCAGATTTTCGACCAATCAAATAGATATTTAATTATGCTTATTAGAACTGCTTAACAATTTATAAGAACTCAAAGAAGAACTAAAATCTTTTTTTCTAATAACAGATTTTAAGCAATTTTAACAGTTAAGATACTATCATGCAAAGCTAATCGATTATTACAAGTTTGACAAAATTCCAGCAATATACTTCAACTTGCCACCAAGCAAAAAGCCACTACCAACTACATATTATAAACTAAATAGCAGAGTTAGACATCTATTTCTATTAGACATGTCAAAAAAAAATACAAACATTCAAAAAATAATAGAC